ATTTTTGGTTATATTAAATTATTTTTTTTCAAAATCTATAAGTTTATCAGATATTTAGTCATGTTTGACTTAATTCTAAATAAAGGGAAAAAAGGAAGGTAAAAAAAAACAAAAAGGAGGGTGCCTGCTACGCTTGCCCTTTACTTCTGCGCTAGGGGGGCTCTATCATCATAATAATAAATATTTAATATCAAAATTACCCTCTTTAATAACATACCTTAGTATCTCCGATTATTGATATACTCTCTTATTATTCCTATATACCATATAAAATAATAACATCTTAGTCTGATACACAATACTTAAATAAAATAATCTCTTATATTCAACATATAAATAACTCAATTTGCAGAGCGTATCAATCTAAGCATACTCATGTTATCCTAATTCTTCTATTTATTATCAGCCAATTATTAAGAAAACTTTTTTACACTTATAAACTCTTAGCCTAGTAATATTAATCACAACAGACTTGTATTTTGTTGGTCCAAAATACAATCAGAAACATTGTAAAATAAGTTATTAAGTTGTTAATTTTCATATTTAATTAACTAAAATCTACCTAGCTATCTAGTTCTTCATTGATGAGCTTAATTCTAAAAAAATAATTTCTAATTTATTAATATATTTATTATATTTAATTTTAGAACTAAACTCTTTATCGACTTTAGAGTTAGCCAATCATCTTAAGAGAATTAATGCCCGTTATTACAATAGGCTTATTTTGCATAAAGTCTCAGCAATAAATATTTTATTGTCTATTGATCTTGATATAAAGTATAAAGATCAAAATATTAGAATTCTGTAATAAACACTCTTTGGAACAAATGTTATAACTGCGAGGATTGATAAGAAAAATACTCAAATTAAGAATATTAACTGAATTATGTCTCTTGAATAAGGAAATAAAGAATATTAACCCTAGTTGCGATTCATCATCTTAATATTAGCTCACTTGTTTTTAAATTGATATTTTTTTTGAGTCATTCTCATTTATTAATAAGATCTTAGTAATTCATTTATTGCACATAGCACCTCAATAATAAGAGTTAAATATATAAAATTATCAAATGCCTGATATTTGTAATACAAACAAAAGGTTTCAATAATGTTAAATAAGGCTATAATATAAAATTTTTTTCATCAAAACTTCTATATTAATCATGTTTGAATACCCTAAATTTATTAATTATTTTATTTAAAAAATTTGGATACATCTCAAAAATGAGCAACAATAGTTTAAAGGAAAACGAGAATGCTGATGCATTAGCTCATTATTCAAGAAGCTAGGTAAAATTATTAAATGAAATCGTTTTTAGGAGTTTAAGATTACTTATCAAATTGAAGAAGCATTATTAGAAATTAATAATGCTTTAAATCTTTGTCCTCAATTTGCCGAAGCCTATACTTTTAGAAGTTCGATCTTTTAAATATCAGTTTAGGTGAATTATATGAGAATTTGAAATTATATGATAAGGCATTGGAAGATGTAAATTATAGCATATCTATCAATAATATGAATGCTAAAAGTTATTATTAACGGGGTATTAATTAGATCTGATAATTAAAGCAACAATTTATTGGAGAAAAAAAATTTTTGATCTAGCATTATAAGATTGTATGAAGTGTGTTTAGATTAATCCAAACTTTGCGATTGGTTATAATAGAATAGGTAATGAGATAAACACAAATGTTTAGGTACTATTATGGGAGATTTGAAATAAAAGGATAGTGAACTCTCATATTACAATTAAGCTATAGAAAAAGATGAAAACTGTTATTATGCATTTATGTGTAGAGGTAATAGAAAATGTATATTTTAAGGTTTGTATTATTTTTATGAACAAATGATTGATTTAGCACTTAGAGATTTAAGTTAAGCTTTATATATTAATCCTAAATATAGTTTGGCTTATTTTAATAGAGGTGAATACAATTAAATTTAATATAATTGGCTATTTATATTGCAAGATTGGTGAAAAGGATAAAGCATTAAATGATTATAATAATGCAATCCAACTTGACCCAAATGATGCTAGTGCCTATATTAAAAGAGGGGAATTATAATACACTGAATATAATAGGCATTATATATAAGGATATTGGTTAAAAAAATAGAGCATTAAATGACTATAATAATGCAATCCAACTTTACCCAAATTGTGCTAGTGCCTATATTAAAAGAGGTGAATTATAATACACTGAATATAATAGGCATTATATATAAGGATATTGGTGACCATGATAAAGCATTAAAAAAAAAACTATAATAATGCAATCCAACTTGACCCAAATGATGCTAGTGCCTATATTAAAAGAGGTGAATTATAATACACTAAATATAATAGGCATTATATATAAGGATATTGGTGACCATGATAAAGCATTAAGTGACTATAATCAAGCAATCCAACTTGATCCAAAAGAAGCAAGAGCCTATTATAACAGAGGTGAAAATTATTACACTCAATATATTAGGCAATTTATATCAAGATATTGGTGACCAAGACTAAGCATTAAATGACTATAATCAAGCAATCCAACTTGATCCAAAAGATGCAACAGCCTATTCTAACAGAGGTGGATATTATTACACTCAATATTTTAGGCAATTTATATTACAATATTGGTGACCAAGATTAAGCATTAAATGACTATAATCAAGCAATCCAATTAGATCCAAATTTTGACCATGCCTTTTATGGAAAAGGTTTTATCTCTAACTTAGCATTTTAGGTCTTATCTTATAAGATTTACAATAATTTGAGGAAGCAATAATTTGCTTTGATAAAGCCATTTCTCTTGATACAAATCTGATTAATGCTTATTATAACAAAGGTTAAATGTTTATTATCTTTTAGCAGTTTCATTATCAAAATTGAACTAAATCTTTTAAGCAATAACATATTATAAAATAGCATTAACATTAAACCATCCTTCTTAAAATTAGATTTCTTAAAAAATCAGCATGCTTCGAGTATTATTATGACAATGAACTTTAAAGCAATAAGTTGTTATATTTCATTATTATTACACAATGAAATAGGAAAATAATTCTAATTAAAGTCTTACTTTCTCCATTAATATATCAAAGCTAAACATCCTTTGTTATAAAGTTTTTCGAAATCTCTTAATCAATTTTCTTATTTAGAGATTCTAATTCTTTAAAAAAAATTTGGAATAAAAAAAATTCCATAATCTTTAAATTCTCAATTCAAAGTTTTCATTTTTTAATGAACTAATTAAAAATATCAGCAACATTTACTTTTTAAATTCGTTATAAAAGTTTTGAATCAATTTAAATTCTTCACTTAAAGATGTATAGATAACTTCTTAACTTAAATTTTTGATTATATATATTAATCCTTAGCATATACATAAAGATAAGTTAATCTACTTAATGAAAGTTTTTAATTTTAGATATCTGTTGAGGTATAATGGATAGTTAATCTTCTTTAACAAAAATATTTCTTCTTTTTAGAGATTATTTTAAATTACTTTAAGATAAATTTTAATGGCTTTCAAAATAAATTAAAGTGTTACATAAAAGGATACATCAATAAAAAAATTCTCAAAATTTTCTACTGTCTAAAATAGAAAACCCCAACAAAGTTTATAATTGATAAAAAGTTTTAATTAAATTTTTGAACTTCTATTGCAAGTATCAATTATAGAATAACCAAAAACATCAACTAAAATATTAAATAATAATCTGCTTAAGCTCCAAAGAACTTTTTTATTTATTAGTAAGAATATAGCCACTAGATATTCTATACGACACTATTTAACTGCAAACGTAAACAAAATTTTCATAGTTATCTATTTGTCTCAATAAATACCCTTCACTAAAAGTAAAATTTAAGAATTTAAATCATTATTTCGAGAGATATTAATTTCTTACATTTTTAAGAATATTGATTGTTTAATCCGCTACAACTTTAAATAATAAAAGTCTGTATTAAGTGTTTGGAAAATTTTTTCGTTTGTTAAATTCATCAGAAGATAATTATTAAATAATTTCTGATATTATAAATGAGTTGCACCTCATATAGAGAAAATTAGTGTTTTTAAATTTCAAAATTATCAATCACAACTTATTCCATTATCATAATTTAAATTAAATGATTTTAAAATAGTTGCTTAATAAATCAGGAAAAGTATTTACAGATGTCGAACTGAAATGAATGCCTAGTTTAAGTTTATCGACATCTAGGATTTCGATTTGTTATTTTTATAATTATAGAATAATAAAGCTATAAATCTTGTAACATGATTTTTAAAAATACATATCAGAAATTTTCTTATTGTTTTTTCCTTCTTTAAAATTTAATTCTCACCCTAAAGTTCTATCTAAATCAATATAAACCAATTCTTAAGGCTATTCAATGAGAAGAAGAATAATCTGGTTTTATAGACATTTTCAATAATTTAATTTATTAGTCTATTTGTAATGATTAGTCATTAAATAAAATTAAAAAAAATAAATCTTTTCGATCTGAATTAAATAGAAAAAGGATTTTTTTTCAAATAAATCGATATAGATTGTAAATATCATCTTTGGTTGGTTCAATATTAAATTATTGATTTAATAAAAATTTTGTTCTCCATTTTCTTTCTCAAATAATCTCATTTCCATTAAGTACTTAAGGTTTTGATTTTCTATAATTATATTTTAGATTCTCTGAAATTAAAGCAACAATCCTAAAAAATTAAGCCATAAAAACTTTTTATTTTACTATTATTGATGGTGATTTAGAACTGCTATCCTTAAAAGTTAAATAATAAAAAAATTTACTGGGTCAATTATTCTATAAAAAAAAAAATAATAAACTTCCTCATCATCTTGCTAGTTTTATACTTTTGAAAAATTTTATTTATTCTTTAGTATTAATTAAGGAGGGTAAACTGAAATCAATTTATGGATCATCAAGATATTTTGCTTTATTTTTCAGAATTTTTTTCCTACTCAGTTTTAAAATATAGTGTTTCATTTTATTCATCAAGCAAATTTTTGATTTTATGGATTGCTAAATTATTATATTTTTGCAGCATTTGGTAGATAAAGATGAAAAATGTGAAAACTAGAATCAGAGTGAAACCACTTACAATAATTAATATTGAAAAATCCTAATTAAAAATAGAGCTATATATTAACCTAACAAAACTTACAGCTGATATTCTTTCTTAATTTAATTTCAGTATTTCATATAAAAAAAAGATTATAGGATTTAGCATAATCTATACAACTGTTATTATTATTTTAATATTTTCTAAATTGTTCTCATTTGAAAGATTAGTTTTTACTTCCTTTCTCCAATACTGATAAATGATTGGTTAAATTCTTGTAGCTCAGGTATGAGTAAAAATAGGCAAAAGGATAAAGTTACATGCCGAAGTAAAAAGAGTTAAAAAAGGAGATAGTTGTGTTTATAGTTGTCTCTTTATTAAAATTAGCTAATGATAAAATAGATGAAAATATTGATTCTTAAAAGTTGGATTTAAAAATCCTGATTAACCCTGAGTAAATAAAATATTAATAGTATTTTCTTTGATGAGAATCCTTTTCATTAATTAATTACCAATTTTAATACTTACAAAAGATAAGATTTTTGTAAAATTTATAGGATATTAAAAAATTGATAAATCCCAATATTATCATAATGAAAAGGGTTTAAAAATTTTCCTAGAAGTTACAATTGATTTAATAGTATTCAAATTATCATTTAGTTATTATGACTGGAGTTTAATAATTAAATATATTTTGTAAATTCTGATCTATTTAAGATTGGAGGAAAAGAGAAAATCACAAAAATCTCAAAATGAATATTCGAAACTTTCTAGATATTCAATATTATGAAATTTCATATAATATAATTATGAAAACATATCAAGTTTATTCCATTTTTTTTTAAATTTCAGCATAAAAAGAAATTCTACTTAAAATAATGATGGCATAGAATAAAATCCTTTTCGCAATGGAGGTTTTTTTCATAATTTATTATTACTCTTCTGACATCTTTTAGAGAGATTTAAATTCCAATTTTGCTTCGTTTGATAACAGAATGCTACTTTAGATGTTAATGATCTAGTCATATTTTACTTTAACTCCTAAAACAGGATTATAAACATTAGCTTTTAAAATTCACTACTATCTTATGAGTTGCATCTGCAAATTCAGTAGGGATAGGGGTTATAAATTTAATTTCAATTTCATATTCTTCATCATAGGCTTTTATAATTTCATAAAAATCAGATGAAAACCAAGAATTGAATATTACATTGATAGTTGAATGAATGTAATAAAGATTTAAAGTTGAATTTTAGGAAGCATCATAAACTAGTATTAATCATGATTACTTAACCTATTCTGATCTGATTGGATTTGTTAAGAAACTTTGCTTATAATATAGAATTCAAACAGCTAGAGTTAATGAAAATATGCAATTACATCTTTGCAGCATAAGAAAAATATAGGAGAATGATAGAAAAATAAATTTTTAATATCTGTAGAATTTATCAAAGAATTAATTTTGATAAATTTTAAGTAATAAAATGAAACTAAAACGATTAAATATCGATTGGTCAAAAGTTTTTGTAAGACACAGATATCAAATATGATTATAATAAAGAGTCTGAATTAAATAAATAAATAACATATGTAAAGATCATAAAAATGAAATTTAATATGTAAACTCAAATTAACCCTATGTAGTTCAAACTAGATTGGCATGCTTTAATGTGTTACAATTTTATAAAGTATAAGACTTTAGATACTTTTAAATATTTTTGAGAATTGTAATGCGGCAAAAAATTATCTTAAATATAGGAAAGCATAATGATGATTTATGAATAAATGATAAAAGCAAAAGAAAGCTTTTTTATAAATTAAAAATCAAATTTTAATAAATAAATGGTTATCTTGACCAGATAAATTTAATTACTTCAAAAAAAAATTAAAAATATAAAGAAATAACATTCTTTTCAAAAGGACTGATAATTATTAGAAGAGGAAGTTTTGATTTTTTTATTGTAAGAATTTTAAATTATAGATATTTACAAATTTCTTGCTTAATTATGAATTAGGGTAATTATTAAGAATATTCTTATGTTAAATTTGTGAAGATATTATTAGATATTAGAAACAAATCAATAATTACCTAATCTTATAAAAAGAATAAGAAATTAATAATAAATTATATTAGCTTTATATATATATTAAATGAAAGAATTACAAAAACAACTGTTTAAATAAGTATTAAGACTACCAAAAATACTCCAAATGCTTTTTTACTAGGGTATAAAAAAAACCCTATTTG